CCGTATTGCCTTGGAAACCCTCTCATCCCCACTCTGCAGCAGCATTCCTCTGGGTCTCCTCCCCACGAGAGTAACGGGTAATACACGCTGAAAGAGTATTACATATTATTACCAGCCTCCCCAGAAAGAAGCCTTGTCTCTAACTCTTTCGTCTCCCTCTTTTTCCTTCTCTCTCTCTCTCTTTTTTTTTTTTCGTGTGTGTATGTGTGTGTGCATCTTCTTGTCTTCTTCCCCCTCCCTCCCTCTTCATCTCGGGCGCGAGACATTTTCCACATAACACCCGAGATCACGGCAAGAGGCAGCAAGTGAAAGAGAGGAGAGAGCCCACCCTTTTACTGTTATTTAATACATATACTCCCCTCCCCCCTTTTCCTGCCAAAACACCTCACGATAATCACATCGGACCAACCAGTCTACGAGTACGAGTGGAGAGATCAGAGCAACCACTCTTCTTCTTCGAACCCATTCGGCGAAACGAAACAGCCGAGCCGGAAGGACGACAAGGTCGTTTCAGAAAAGAGAGAGAGGGGGAGAGAGAGTGTGTGTGCGTGTGTGCCTCTCTCCATCGAGCTCCGGCCTTTTTGGGGGGTCCCGCATGAGAGAGCATTGAAATTGTATCCTGGGATCCGGTATCCACCACCAACCTTGGTCAAGGCGGCCGTAGCAGGATGACCCCGGACGCCTCATCATCCCCTATACAGGGGTCTGCGCCGTCTTGCAACGTCAGCAGCAGCACCGCTGCTCTGCACCGCCCGAGGTTGTCGACGCCGCCCAGGCTATCATTTCTGAGCGGTAATACGTGTACGGGTCCCGCTAGCAATGCCGCTGCCAGCACGAGTCTCTCTGCTGGGAACAGCAGTGACAGGAGGAGGAGCCACATTGCCGAGCCGTCACCGAGCTCTCACCCCAACACGAACAACATGAACAACGGCAACAGCGAGAACAACGGCACCAGCGACAGCAACAGCAACAGCAACGACACCACACCGAGACCTCAGTCGCCACCACGCAAGACGGCCTTCGACCACGACGACCTGTCGCACCCCACCCACGGCGGCCGAGACGAGGACAGCACCCACGACTCCACAGACCACCACTACCACCAGCAGTCAACCCCCGGCACTCCCCCAGCCTTTAGGGGCATCATAGACTTTGCCAACAGCCAGATTGGACGCACCGCGATGGCATATACGGGGGATAGGAGGAAGATGACTCGTCGGAGCGACGCGTCTCTCCAGCAGCAACGACGACAACAACAACAACAACAACAACCGTCATCATCACTACCACCTCCCCAACAGCAGCAGCAGCAGCAGCAGCAGCACCGAGCAGCACCGAGCGAGACGTCGTCTGCCACGCCGAGAAACTCCCCCGTCCCACCGGGCAGCTCGCGGTTCGCCACGTTCGCGTCGAGCATGTTCAGGGGATTAGGCGCGTCGGGGTCGTCGGCGCGGCCGCCCGCGGGCGGGAGCCCCACGTCGACGCCGCAGGACGACGAGCTGCTGAGCATGGACATCGAGGCCGCCATCTACCGCGACGGCGACGCCTTCTCCCCGGCGGCGTACAAGAACCTGCAGCAGACGGCGTCGGGCCTGCTCGGCCGGTTCCAGGCGGCCTACCAGCAGCGCACGGCCGAGTGCCACGAGCTCCGGGCCGAGCGGGGCGTGCACCAGGACGAGAGGGACGAGGCCGACACGCGCATGCAGCACCTCCGCATGCAGCTCGAGGACATGGCGCGCAAGGCGGCCGAGCAGGAGGCCATGGTGCTGTCGCTGGCCGACGAACTCGAGCGCGAGAAGAGGATGCGCGCCGACGAGAGGCACAAGATGCTCAGCATCAGCCGGCTGAACGCTCAAGCTCAAGCCCAAGCCCAGGCCCACGCTCACGTGCCGCCCTCGGAGTCCCCGACGACGGCGGCGATGACGACGGCGACGACGACGACGACGTCTTCGTCAGCATCGGTCTCGGTGTCCGAGGACCTGGGCGCAGAGGAGGACCAGAGGCGCCGCCAGCGTCGCAGCGCGGGGAGCAGCAGCGGCTGCAGCAGCAGCAGCAGCACCCGCAACAGCGGCGTGCCGTCCGGCGCCGAACGCTCGGACCTGGTCTTCGACACGGACGAGGAGAGCATCGTCGAGGGCGCGAGCCTCTTCTCCCGCTCGCGCAGCCCCACCATCGCCACCACGCTCACCGATATGGGCCCGCCCCCGCCGCCCCATGCCCCCGCTCATCACTCGACCCCGACCCCGGCGGAATCGCCGTCCCTGCCTCAGCTGAAGATGCGGCCTGCCGTCGAGGCCGTCGCCGCACCACCTCGCGCCTCACCGGTACGTGCCTCACCCCAGCCGCAGCAGATGGGCGCCTTCCAGAAGCTGTTCAAGGGCATATCTGGGGATCCGCAGCAGCCGCAGCACCAGCAGCAGACGCAGACCGTCTCGTCGTGCCGGAACTGTCAGGGCCAGGAGGCCAGTGTGGCCTGGGATACGGTCAACCTCCTCAAGGATGAGAACAAGGGCTTGAAGATCAGGGTGAGTGATCTCGAGGCGGCGGTTGAGGGTGCTCTCGATGCTGTCATCGGGATTGGCATCTAGGGTGGGAGATTGCTCCGTGTATATCTTTTTCTTCTTCTTTTGTATGCATGGCAATGCTTCTAGGGGGGATTCTTCTTCTTCTTCTTCAACTTCTTCATTCTTCTTCTCCTTCTTTCTTCTTCTTCTTCTTCTTCTTCTTCTTCAACCTCTTCATTCTCCTTCTCTCTTCTTTCTTCTTCTTCAGCCTCTTTTATATGCATGACGAATATGGCGTTGGGAGGGTCTCTTCTTCAGACAGGGCTTCTTTCAAGACAAGGCAAAGCCGGTATCAGAATGGACTCACGTGTGGGGTTTCTTTCATTGTTGTTATCCCATCATTATTCCTTCTATTCTCTATTCTTGTCTCGTTCTTCTGATTTCTTCTTCTCACATGTTCAGCTCTGTGATACCTGATGATGATACGGCGAATATCTACTCTCAACATCTTCTATAACTGATCTCTGCACGGAAATGCTGTTCGCGCGCAAGGACTGATCAGGTTATCGGTTATTCCCGCTGCCTATAATATAATAAACATACGTTTACTGCACTCGTGGCACCGCACCGGACTGGACTGCCTGCATCTCATCACGCGCATCATTGGAGCAACTTTGGGTTTATCAGGACCGATTTTCGATTTGCTGTCAATGACAAGGGGGAAATAGAGAGGGAGAGGGAGAGAAAAGGCTCTCGTCCTCTCTCATCGGTGAGTGGCCCAGCAAGACGACGAGACAGGATAAAGATGTGTACACCTCCCTCCCGCGCATGCCATCTGCCAAGCCTCCACCGCTGCTCCCCCCCGCACACTCTCTCTCCGCACACTCTCTCTCCGCACACTCTCTCTCCGCACAGGAGAGCTCCCTCTCAGTGGTGAGCCTCGTCGTGGTGAGCCTCGTCGTGGTGGTGCTCGTCCTCGAGGAAGAAGTACTCGTAGGCGCAGTATCCGGAGAAGGCGACGGTCGCCGTGCCCAGGCCAGGCAGGCCGCCCTTGAATCGGTTCCACCTGGTAAAGGGGCCCTCGTAGCGCCAGGCCTCACTGATGCATTTCGGGGGAGAGAGAGGTCAGCTCATGCGGATGGATATAGATGCATACATGTATGTATGTGTGTGTGCGTGTGCGTGTGTGCGTGTGTGTGTGTGTGTGTGTGTGTGTGTGCATGTCTGAGCAGATATTCTCATCTTGGAAAGGTAACGTACGTGCGCTCCCAGGGATCGTATCGCGGCTGGCCGGTAGCAGCCTTGAATTCTCGCATGTTGAAGCCGGTAATGCTCGGCCTAGGCCCACCGTGGGCGGCTCGCAGCATCCTGTATGGGGGAGAGCAATGGTCAGCAGAACGCGGGACTCTGGATAGCATACAACATCCACGCGACACAAGAGGGGGAGGGATCTGAGAACCGGGGGAGCATGGATGGGAACGTTTTCAATCACCTCGTGGCAAACATGGTGGGCAGATTTTTATCGTACGAATTCCTTCTTCTTGTTGTTGTTGTTGTTGTTTTCTTCTTCTTTGCAGACGACGATTATGAAAGCATCATGGTCGGGAAGACAGACCAACCTAACCCTCCCTCCCTCCTTGGGGGTGGGTCTGGGTCTGGGTCTGGGTCTGGGTCTGGGTCTGGGGGAGGAGAGAGAGAGAGAGGAGCCATTGGCCTGGCCCGAGTCGGGGGGGGACAGACGGAAAAAGGAAAAAATATTCTTCCGTGACCTTCCGACGACCACGTCTTGACGCACGGACCACGTCACTGATTCCTTCCCCCATTGCGTCGATAATCCAATCTTTAGGCCTTGCAGCGTCTACGGGCCTTTCATCATTCTATGGCTGAGAAAGTCGAGTCGAACAGCATCCCTCCTTGACTTCTTTTTTTTTCCCCCTGCCCCTCCCACAACCTCTTCTTCTTCTTCTTCCTCTACCTTTGCCTGGTAACTTCCCCCTCTGTCTCCCTCTTCGATTTATCTCAATTCCCTAGCTTGACGACAACGAGAAAAACACCGCTGTCTTTTCGGCCCTCACCAACAAAAAAACAAAAAAAAGAAGAAAAGGGAAAAATTCGAGCTTGGCTTTCATCGTCTGTACTCTCCTCTCTTTCCCTTGCTACATATATCCCTACCCCTACCCCTACCTTACCCCCCCCCCCCACCACGACTACCGCACACAGCACACCAACACCAACACACACACACACACATACACACCCAAGATCACAAACGACAGACGGTGCCACGTCTGATCCTGGTTCTGGAAAAATCGTTACTGACTCGATGAATAGCTCTCTACATCTGCCCTACAGCAGCATCATCATCATCATCATCAACAACAACAACAACAACAACAGCAGCAGCAGCAAACAGTGCAACTCGCGTTAGAAAGCGGCCCAACTTCGATAACCGGCCACGAGTGCTCTCCCGGGCGGCAGAAGTCTCTCGTCGAAAGGAGTCAGGTCTGCTAGGCATCTGCGGTTCGCTCACAGCTCAGCTGTCAGAACAAGACCGATCATATCATCACCAGCGGAACCCCTCGGACTCCCCCCTCCCCCAACCGGGTGCCGCACAGCCGACCACCGACGCAGTCGATAGCCGGCCCTGAGCCAACGACAGATTCACACGCAGACTCCATGCCGCCGCAGTTGAGGGGATTTGGCGCTGGGGCGCCGTTCCCCCAACCCGGCTTCGCCTCCCACGCCCAACCTCAAGGCGGTCCCATGGGCGCCAGCCAGTACCTCAACGCAAGCGCCCAGATGGGCCCCTTCTCGGGTGCCAATGCCAACACCTTCAGCGTCGCCGGGCTCGGCGGTCCGGCTGCCGGCTTCCCCGATACCGGATTCGGGAGCCAGAGTGCTCGGATGGGCTTCACACACGGTCCGGCGGCAGCAGCGGCCGTCGCCGCCGCCATGGCCCCGCCCCCTCACCACAGCGCCCAGCTCCACCACGCCCTGGCAGAGCACCAGCCCCTGAGGCAGCAGGGAAACAGGGGGAGGATACGCGAGGTCTGGAAGCACAACCTTCAAGAGGAGATGGCCGTGCTCCGAGATCTCGTGGACAGGTATCCTTATATTGCTATGGTTAGTCGGAGCCTACCGTGTGGACGGAGACGTGTGACATGCAGGCTAATACCGAGACCCGAACCGCCAAGGACACCGAGTTTCCCGGCGTCGTCTCGAGACCGATGGGAGCCTTCCGCGGCAAGAGCGACTACCACTACCAATGTCTCCGCACGAACGTCGACATGCTCAAGGTCATCCAGATCGGCCTGACGCTCTTCAACGAGGACGGCGAGACCCCGCCCGCCCGCCCGCAGTCGGCCGCCGACGCGGAGATCGGTATCGGGCGCCGGCAGGGAAGCCAGCCGTTCCCCTGCTCGTGGCAGTTCAACTTCAACTTCTCCCTCAAGGACGACATGTACAATGAGAAGTCGATCGAGTCGCTGCAGCAGGCTGGCATCGACTTCAACATGCTGGAGCGCGACGGCATCGACCCCCACGAGTTTGCGGCGCTGCTGATCCCGTCCGGTCTGGTGTGCTTCGACGATGTCAAGTGGATCTCGTTCCACGGCGGCTACGACTTCGGCTACCTGACCAAGCTGCTCATCTGCACGCCGCTGCCCAACGACGAGGTCGACTTCGACCACAAGATGAAGCTCTACTTCCCCAGCACCTACGACGTCAAGCACCTGATGAAGCACGCCATCAAGCTGCACAACTCGGGCCTCCTGTCGCCGAGCGACCCGATGACGGTGGAGATACTGCAAAAGTTCGAGCACAAGTCGGGCCTGGAGAACATTGCCGAGACCCTCAAGGTCAAGCGCGTCGGTGCCGCCCACCAGGCCGGATCCGACTCGCTCCTCACCGGCAAGGTCTTCTTCCAGATGCGCGACAAGATCTTCAACGGCGACATCCCGGATGACCACGTCGGCAAGGTGTGGGGTCTCGGCGTCCCGGACTCTGGACTCATCATGGCGTCCATGATGGCTACCGGCGGCGGCGGCGGCGGCGGCGGCGGCGGCAGCGGTGTCGACTCGTCCCACGGCCAGGTCAACGGTAACGGACCCCAGGCACCCAGCACGCCCAACACCAGCACCGTCGGTCTGTCGACGACGCCGGCAGCCCAGAGCCACAACACAAACGGCCTGTCCCACATGGGACCCATGACTCCCGGCGGCGGCGGCGGCGTCTTTGGCAGCTTTGCCTTTACCGGCAACAACCGATAGGGTACGGGACCAGCATGTCACTACCGGACGTAGTCTGATCAGCGTCAGTGCACATCGGTGCGAGCCAGTGCAAAGCCGCCGCTGCAACTGCTACTGCAAGTCACTGCAACTGCCGAGACGATTATCGAGACAGTTTCCTCTTGCATCTCTCTCTCTCTCTCTCTTTTCTTCTTTCTTTTCCATCTTTTATATGGCATCCTTCCTTTTTGAGATACACCCCCTTCTGAATCTCGTACTTTTGTGATACGACACAAGGATTGTTAGTATCAAGGGTATCGGAAAAAAAAGGGAAGTATAAAGGACTGAGAGAATCATATGAAAAAAAAAATTCTGGAGAAGAGTTTTTTTCTTCTTTTCTTTTCAAAAAAAAAAAAAATTCCCCCCCCATCATTACAAGGACTAGCGGACAGGAGGGTGAGGGAGGGTTGAGGGAAGGGGATAAAGGAATGGGAACATGACAAATGGAGTCTTTGAAAAAACAAACCTCTTCTTCTCTTTCTTGGGAAAGAATTTTTTAAAGTACTTTGGTACTAGTATACAGGGGAGTTTTGCGCTTTATCTGCACAACTGTTTTCTTTTCTTTTTCCTTGGGTTCTTTTTTTTTTCCACATTTTTATTCAAGTTGGGAAAGATGAGGATGGATAATGGCCGTATCTTTTTTTTTGCCTTTTGGTGCGTCTTTGCTACTACTGCCTTTACATGACCATTCTACCGGTTCTTTGTACATTAGATGACAATGGTTTACCATCATTCAAAAAAAAAAACGTTTCTTTTCTCTCCCTAATGATGTGTGAATGAATAATGAGTGTAAAGTTTTGAATGTAATTTCATCCCCATTTCCATTTTCCCATTTCCAATTTTTTTCTAAGGGGGAGGAAGAAGAGAAAAAAAGAAAAAAGGAAAAAAAAAAGCGTTAATGTCGAGTGTGGTGTGGGCTTTGATTTCATTCAAGTCATCCCTTTGCAACGCCGGAAGAAGAACGCCGGAGGAAAAAAGAAATAGAGGAGACAAGTGCTAAGGAAAATAAAAAGGAAAAGAAAAGGATAGATGAAGAATAAGAAAACGAGAATAAAGAAAAAGGGGGAAAGCTGAGGGTGAAAGAAGAAGGAGGAGGAGGAGGAAGAAAAGGGAGGGAAGAAAAGGGAAAGAGAAGAAGAAAAAAAAGAGTAAATCATGTTATATAGACCTTCTTTAGCTCATCAAGACGGACAAGAGAGCCATTAGCAGAATCCTTGACCCATCCATGAGCCACACCGGCCTTTGTGGCCTCGTCGATGAGGAGCTGCCTGCTCCTGGTGCGGCCACTGGGCAGCAGGACGAGGTCGGACAGAACGTGACTCTTGGTGTGGTGAGCGTAGGGTACGTGGGCGGCCAGGTCGTTGAGCTCGACGGAGCAGATTGGGCAGATGCCACGAGAGGAGGGGGAGGAGGAGGAGGAAGAGGAGGCGTCGACGCCCGCTGAGACCGAGGCGGACGGGGTGCCGGCGGGGGGGTGGTCGGTGCAAGGGGCGTGGCAGGCCGGGGTCTTGAGGGCGGACAGGCCGCTGGACAGGGCGATGTGGAGGAGGGGGGTGTCCGGGAGGGAGAGGAGGGCGTTGTGGGTGCGGGTGAAGCTGTCGGCGAGGTCCCGCCAGCGGGGACGGTAGAGGTCCTCGTAGAGGGAGGCGGCCGGGGTGCCGGGGGGCACGGCGAGGAGGCCGCAGGCCCTCTGGACCTGGCGGGGGTGGTGGAGGCGGTGGGGCACGAGGTGCTTCCTGGCGTGGGCCATGGCCTCGGCGAGGCTGGAGCGGCGGACGAGCTCGATGAACTGCTGGAGCCGGAGGGTGAACTCGAGGTCGCTGTCCATCTTGCGGAGCTCCTTCTTGTTGTCGGCGCACCAGGCCAGGGCCTTGGCGACGGAGCCGGCGCGCAGGTCGTCGACGATGCGGCCCATGCGCTCAAACGTGTCGGCGTCGACCAGCGGCTCCATGGACCGCTCCGACGCGAGCTGGCGCGCGCTGGCGTAGTAGCCCTTGCGGAGCATGTAGTCGGTCAGCAGCCGGTCCAGGCGCAGCCGGTTCCACGACTCGTACCCGACGTCGTCGACGGACCGGTGCGAGTACAGCCGGTCGAGGTGGGCCACCCGCGCCTCGGCCTGGTCGTGGAGCCGGGACTCCTCCTCGGCGTACAGCACCAGCTTTCGCTTCACCCCGCGCATCCGCACCAGCATGGCGTCCAGGCTGCGCAGGACCTGGCTGAGCGGGGCCAGGCCCGACGTCTCCCGCAGCAGCGTCTTGAGCGCGGTCGTGTCCTTTTCGATGGCGAAGTGCGCGGAGCGGAAGTTCTTGCGGAGCAGCTCGTTGGGCAGTCGGAGCAGAGGTTGTTCCTGGGGCGGGCGGAGGTCCTCGTGGTCAGCACCGGGACCGGGCTTGGAGAGGAGGGTGGCTGTGGCTGATGCTACATACCAGGAGGACATGTTCCGAGTGTCTGATGGCCGAGAGCTCGTGGTCCGCCATGATTGCGGGTAGGATGGGTGTGCGCGTGTGTCGTCTGCGACGGCTGGAGAGGCTTCCTCGGGGGCAGCTTATCTTGACCTGGGACAGAGCCACGATCGAGAACGTGGGTCTTGGACGGAACGACGAGTATGATGTGGGGGATACGATGGTGGATGGGCATCGTCATGGCTCCAAGTTTGCTGGGGGGGAGTAATAGCGGGTGGCATGTAATACGGATATAGGGGAGGTTATCGGATGTAGTACTGTTGGATATCGGACTGATTTCGGTGTGGTTCTACGGAGTATCGCGATCTTTCCTCTTCCTCTTTCTTCTTCTTTCTCTGGTCTAGAAAGCGTGGGGGGATGCTTGCACGGTATCGATTCATCATCGGCACGGGTTATTACTTGATCTCGTACTGATCGGTGAAGACAAGAAGACCAGAAGAGCTCGTCGGAGCTACCAACGACATGATTGCGTGCCTCGTACCTGTATAGCCAGTCAGGTCAGACCGTAATGCATGTTCGGTTAGGAATATGACCAGCATCATCTCATCCTAGCAGCACCCGGAACAGCTTCTCAGGGTATCATCAGGTACTCATAAGGAGCACTTGCATGGCAAGCCATCAACTGCGAAGTACGAGTACATGCGCGCATGAACCGCCTCTGATTGGCGGTCATGTTTATTATTAGAGCCTACATGTATGCCTAAGGCAGATGGATGTGTGTGTGAAGCAACAAGGGGAGGAGGGGGGGGGTCCGTTTGTCAGTACAGTTGTCTCCCAGCTCACGGGTTGGTAACAATGTCATTATTTTATTGTAAAATGTAAATTTTTTTACTATTTTTTTTTTTTCCACCTGATAGAGTAAGACTGATAGTAGTATTGACACTCCAAATTGCGTGAAGAAATAAAGAATGAAAAAGAAGAAAAAAAGTCATGCCCTTTACTTGCTTGACCTTGGGTGATTATTATTATTTACGATACGTACTGCTGCTGCATTGTGATGAGAATGACCAATGAAGTGTGGCACACCAGCAGCTGCCACACCTCCACTCGAACGCAAGCCACACACATTCTTCTCCTCCTCCTTGCTGGGAGAGATGGGAAAGAGCACTGAACGGCCAGCGGGGGCGTCAGCCTGTCAGGACGTATCCAGTTGATTACTACACCAAACTGCGTGAATGCTCCCTCCCTTGATCGCGCCTTCGGTTTAGACGCAGCTACTGATAAATCCCCCCCCCCCCCGCTCCTTCTTTCTCTCGTCTCACGTGTTCACTCTCTCCTCATCCACCCCGTGACCTGTTCGACCTGTCGCCCGCAACCGAAGACGCCCAACAAGAGTGTTAATCGGGGTCGACTTACAGTGAG